CGTTTAGTGGGCGGGGCTGCCCGACCGCTACCTCCTTCGGGCAGCCCCCATGCCTCCGGACCCTGAGCCGCTGGCCGGGCACTTCCCCTCCCAGGCTCCCGGGGCGCCGGGTCCGGAGGCATGGGGGCTGCCCGAAGGCGGTAGCGCTTGGGCAGCTCGGCTCTTAAACAGAGCCGAAGAGTCAGGGCAGGAGCACAGCAGCCGCCGCCGGAGCCCGGGAGGGGAAGTGCCTGGCCGGCGGTATTTTTCCCGGACATGTTCGGCTTTTTGGAAATTCCCCCCCGGACGGGGGTTTGATTACCAAAAAGCCGGACATGTCCGGGAAAAAACGGACGTATAGTAACCCTACTTTAGGACATATACAGCTAAAAATGCTCACTGTGAACTTCTGAGTCATTTTGGGTAGCTTTTAAGGAATAAGTGCAACAATATAACATTGGTAACAGTCCTACAACTCTGCACTTGGAACTTCTGTTGACATCAGTAGGAGTGTTTGCATGTGGAATGGATGCAGGCTTTGGCTCTGCTGTTCCTGAGGAAAGGTATGAAATCCTACACTCTTACTATGCTGTTTTCTCAAATAAAAATATCTTGAGGTGGGGGTGGTATTTGTTTCAGTTCCATCACATTTGATATTAACCAGGATGAATATTGGTGTTTTCATTTGTTGTAATTACTCAGTTTAGCTCTACTTTATAAAATACAACTCAAGTCCATATTATTTTTTTTCAATGACGCCATACAAGATTTCCTCCTTTTACAAGAACAAGAATTTTTGTTTTTTTGTTTCCAGACTTGCAAACTCATCCTGGGCTATGACAGTCAAGCTAGGTCTCTTGTTTCTCTTGCTTCATCACCAGTAATGAAGATGCTGCAGTTCAGATTATGGCCTTAATTGACACCCTGTGCAACATCATTGTCTTCATTTAGGGTTGTGCAGGTGTTGCTGATAACATAATCTAGGGCAGTGCGGGTTGCACAGGTGTATATGAGGACTTAACTTAAAAAGACTGATCCTGGCAATTTACTATCCCATAACTCCTAACTACCTTCTCTACTAACATAATGAAATAGAAAATGGCAGGGGAACACAATATCTGCAGGATAATGTTAATATGGTTTTATAAAGAACATAATATGGCAGTCAAGTTTGTGTGACTTTGTTCGGTTAAAAATTAATTGAAGGAAAGCAATAGATATAAAATTTGAATTTACAACATCCTAGCTATAATAAACTTTGCACTTACATAACAGTTCATCTGAAGGTCTCAGTGTGGCTTACAAGGGTGGGCATTGTCTACATTTGTAAAAATGGGGAATCTGTGATACAGATTAAATGAGGGTTATAGAGGAAGCTGATGGTATTCAATTTCTACTTGAAAAACTAATCCAAATTAATTTAATATATGCACAGTCATAGATTGAAAACTGGCTGAGTGGCCATAAATACAGGGTCCTTACAAAGTTTGTATTTTGTTGTCAGAGATGTTTAGTGTGGTATTCCAGGCATCCATGTTAGGCCTGTTTTTATGAAACATCTTTAATCTGTTTTATCTGGATTGATCTTGAGCCAACTAGATTTAATTCAAGCATCTTTCTGTGCCAGACTGAAAAAACTGAGCAAATCTCCATCTGGGTCTGGAGAAACGGAGATGTAGAACAAAGTGTCATCAAAAATACAGATGGCTTTGCAACCCACCCACTCTTATGTATTAATAATATTTGACATGTATATTGGTGCCAAGTGGCTTCAACCAGGTTAGTGGCCCATTATGCTATGTACTGTACAAACATATAGTACATGACAGTCCCTGCCCCAAAGAGCTTAGAGTCTAAAGACAGTGCAGGTGGAGGAAACAAAGATGTGGTGATGGGGAAAGGGGTGGACAGAGAGAACAGGGCAACAAAAATAATAGTATGTTTTAGCAAAAACTAGCTTTGACTATTGTGTGAAATTGGTAGCAGTAATCACTACTCACTGCTTTCCTAGCTGTTGTCAGATTGCACTTTTGAAACGAGTTTTATGGAGGTATTGAAGATGGATGTGGGGTTGGCTTCCCCTATTTAATGGGAGAATGCATGGAGGCACTTATGAGTGAAATAGACAAGCTGGTGATTGAGGCTGGCGCGGATGTTGGAGTGAAGGCTGGGTAGCTGTTGAAAAGTTAAAATGAAGTATTTTGAAGTAAGATAAGAGAATGGATAAATGTGGATCAGACTTTCTTTTGTTGGCTGATTGTTGAGAGGAGGGTGATGCACCTGAACCCTTCAGTACCACCCATGAGAGAAGCTTTGGGGCAATGAACAGATTCTCAATGCTGGCCTCTGTGGCTTCCCAGAGAGGAAAGAAATGAGCCAATCCAATGCTACCCTTTAATTTGCTGCCAGGTTACCATGGCATATGAACAAGACTTCCATGTTCAGTTGAGTCTCAGCTTTCTGGAAGACCTGAGGGTCTGCATGGATATTTGATCTGTGTATGTCACCAGGAGATTGTCTAGCAACAAGACTAGAGCAGATTGAAAGGTGTTAAGGAAGTTTGAGGACTCTGGGTACACAGTTCCCAAAATAGGAAGACTACAGAGTGTCAACAATAAGTGAAATGGCTTAACAGTTTCTCATATCTGATGTCGATACCATGTTTTCTCGAAGGAAAGCACAATAGTCTCTGCCAGTAAGAGCAGTGTATCAATGTAAACTTCAACCATTTTTATGAAAAGGAGGGGCGCGTATCCACATTTCAATTGCAGGTTGAAGCTACACAAACACCTACAGAACTTGTGTGGAAATGTAAATAGAGAAGAGACCACATTTCTCCCCAACCTGAAAGTGTTCATCTGCTATAAAAATAGATTTGGAATAATTGGATGAATAATCTGGTCTGCAAAATAGATGGAAAATTTGTGACCGTGAGAAACAGTCTATTCTGAGTAAAGAGAACTAGGTTTATCAGGCTGTCCATAGCCCAAGTCTCTGTGATTGCTATGGTAGACGAAGAGAACCACTTCATCACAGCCTTGGCATAAGACTTTGAAAACTCTTCATTCTACAATCAGTCTGACTCAGAATGTAACTTCTGTTTCCAGTGGTATGGCCGCCCTCCTAATCGTTTCACCCATAGCAGAATAGCAGGTCACCAGTATTATAAGTCAACTTGCCTGTGAGGACAGCAAAGTAAAAGGAGAGGGGTCTTTAGCAAGTCAAAGAACGTAAGAAAAACATAGTATCCAGCCATGCTGTTGATGTGAGGATCTGGCTGCACAACACCCTGCCTCTATTCAGCTCCAAAACTTCAACTGGTTCTTTTAGATCTGAGGACAGACCATCAAAGTAGGTTCTCTGCCCTATGGGAGCAAAGGTCAGTCTAGTCTCAGACTAAAAAAGGCAACATTCTAAAAATGATATCCCAATTCAAAAACAAAGTCGAGTTATCAGAAGTGGAAGAATGACCTTTGTGGTTAAGGCACTGGTCTGGGATTTATGCTATTTTGGTTCAGTTTCTGGATCTGTCACAGACTTCCTCTGTAATCTTGATGAATCAGCCTTTCTGCCCCTTTTAGTTTTCCATCTGTAAAATGGGTATAGACTTTCCTACCTTAGAAATGTGGTGTGAAGATTAATTCTTTAAAATTGTGAGATGCTTCAGTAATTCAGTGGTATAGAATATAGTACTTCGTTTTCAGAACTTTTGGTCCTATCATTAGTGGATGAGTGTTGTTGGTAAGGTTTTTGATTTGGAAGCAAGGAAGTATATGATTGTGTCGAATAACAGCTGTCTTTTCTCTGCAGGTTAACTTCGTAGTGTGCCAACTCTTTGCCTTGCTTGCAGCTATTTGGTTTCGAACATACCTTCATTCAAGCAAAACTAGCTCGTTTATAAGACATGTTGTTGCCACGCTTTTAGGCCTTTATCTTGCACTTTTTTGTTTTGGATGGTAAGTAACATTTTATCTTCTTTTTCAACCGTTTCATGTGTTTTGTTACATACATTTTGGTATTTAGTGCTGCTGAAGTTTATTACAGTTACATTTACTACTTTCTGTGTTCTCTTTTGGTTGTTGTCCACAAATGTACTGAAAGAATCAAAGTAATATATGCTCCATCCAATGTAACTGAGATGGAAAGTACTCTAAATGCCATATTATTTAATTATCTGAAGGTCTTTTCAAAGGATTGTATCTTGCAGCTGTTTTTGCGAGGAGAGAGGAAGAGCTAAAATAAAAACTAATTTTGTAACTTGTACAACTTGTGACAAATTTGTGTAACATACTGCTCTGAGTAGGTGTGGCAGAAAGTAATTTTTTTTTATAGCTTCAATGGATAATTTCAGTGTCTATTTTTCCTGTTTTGATTGATTTAAATTTTCACAATTGCAGGAAATTATTTAATGACAGACATTGAGATTAAAAAAGTTAAAGCTCTATAACTGTTAAAACGCAAACTGTCAACATCACAGGTCAAAGTATACAAAATAAGTATTCTGAAATCAAACTCTGATAAATTCTCAAGCAGTATTTTTCTTACTTTGCTTGCGTGTAAATTTTGATTATCATTTATGGACATACTTTTGTGTGTGTGTATGTGTACAGTGAAATCAATATTTACCAACACTTATCAATAAAACTAGTACATCCAAGCATAGCTATGAGTCTATACTAAATTAATCACATGCCTAGATACCACTCCTTAATCTCAAAATATCAATTAGCTTGCATTGTTTTTTGTTAAATACTGAATACAGATCTGAATACCATGGGAGAAGGGCGGTGAACAGAATTGTTGCTATAGAGTGTTTCTCTGGCACCAGGAAGGGCCTGGAAGGAAGTTGGACTCCGGCGGGTATCTTTTAAGATTAAGTTGTGACTGCTGTTAGAATATCTCAATATATGATATTCTATATAGGTTCTTCTGCCACACTCTTCACCGTTGTACATACTCAAGGTGTAATTGGCCAGAACAGCAGGAGGGGCGATACAAGAAATGCATTTACTTTTATGTATGTAAATTACACTACAGACTGTATAATCTAGTTGTTTCGGTGCAGTGTGGTTCAGTACTTATCAGGCTAGTTCAGGATGAAATAAGAGGGAGTTGGCTTAATTGGTGTGTGGCACAACAGCTAGTCCAACTTTCTCTTGAGGCACCGGTATATAGGCTAAGGCATTTTCTTAATTGACTAAAATATTCTGGCAATGTTTTAAAAACATTAAGAAGATAGGATGAGCTAATGCCCCTCCCCCTTCTCTTTGCATAGTTCTTGAATTCTGAACTACAATTGTGGCCCCTATATTCAGTTTAGTCACACAGGTACCTAAACATTTGCTTGCTGCAGACATTGTTTATAGATTCAGGAAATCAGAAAGTTAGGCTTATTCTTAATTAATATTATCTTTCAGTTTTATGTGTATAAGTTTGCAGTTTATTTATACACATGCACATAATCATGGAAGTGTAGGTCTGGAAGGGACCTCTAGAGGTGATCTAGTTCAGTCCCCTTCACTTAAAGCAGGGCCAAGTATTATCTAGACCACCCCTGAAATGCATTTGTCTAACCTGCTCTTAAAAATCTCCAGTGATGGAGATTCCACAACTGCCCTTGTTACCTGTGGTTCTTTCAACCCAAAGCTCTTGGTAGCTTTACTCTGTGCAAGGTGGTGTCAGGAAATAAATCAATGGAGACATGGCTGGCCGACCGATAGATGATTGGCACAAACGGGACAATACAAGAGTGCTCTCACTTAAAGATATACTTAACTTAGTGTCAAGCACTTACACATGTCCGCAACAGGTTAATAAAACACCCTCAACCCCCAATAATTACTGAAGTTGGGTGTGGCTCTTGAGTGGCACAGTGGCAGCCTTCCGATGGCCAATCTTGCGTCTGCTGGTGAGACCCCCAAGATGTGTCCAGAAGAAGAGTCCCTGAAGAATCCAACTACGCCAAACTTTCTTCCCTTATTTATTCATTAGTATTATAACAACATGTCACTCAAATAAAACTTGTTAAGCAAGCAATTTCAAAGGTTAAGCAAGAGAATTCCCTCTGATTATCAATTTGCCAGATGTGTTTTTGCAGAGTTTGCGTGCCTTGAGCCCCTGACAGATACATTCCTGAGGGCACATATAGATAAGCTTCTTGTTTTTCTTAAACACATACCTCAGCAATTTCAACAGAGATGTTATCAGGAAGGACTCTGGGTCAAGCTGTCCTTTTTGTGGTAGTCCAAAACCCCTCCCTTCCTGACTCGGTCATGCTAAGGCTGCTGCATAGGCTCACTTATGGCCTGCTGGCTTGGTTAACGTTAGCAGTAAGCAGTAGTGGTCTGTGCACTTTACCTGTCCGCCAAGATCTCCCCATATAGCCTCTGCAATCTATTCCGGTGCTTAACCACTCTGACAGGTTTTCCTAATGTCCAATCTAAACTGCCCTTGCTGAATTGAAGCCCATTGCTTCTTGCCCTCTCCTCAGAGGTTAACGAAAACAATTTTTCTCCTTCTCCTTGTAACAACCTTTTACGTACTTGAAAATTGTTATCATGTCCCCTGCCAATCTTCTCTTTTTCAGACTAAATAAACCCAATTTTTTCAATCTTTCCTCATAGGCCATGTTTTCTAGACCTTTAATCATTTCTGTTGCTCTTCTCTGGACTTTCTCCAATTTGTCCACAAATGAAATGCGGCACCCAGAACAATTCTCCAGTTGAGGCCTAATCAGTGCAGAGTAGAGCGGAAGAATTACTTCTCGTGTCTTGCTTACAATACTCCTGCTAATACATCCCAGAATGATGTTTGCTTTTTTTTGCAACAGTGTTATACTGTTGACTCATATTTAGCTTGTGATCCACTATGTCCCCCAGATTCCTTTCTGCAGTACTCCTTCCAAGGCAGTCATTTTCTGTTTTTTTAATGTGTGTAACTGATTGTTCCTTCCTAAATGGAGGACTCTTCCAGATTGGCTGTGAACCACCGATAACTACTCTCTGGGAAAGGTTTTCCAACCAGTTATGCACCCACCTTATAGTAGCTCCATCTAGGTTGTATTTCCCTAATTTGTTTATGAGACGGTCATGCAAGATAGTATCAAAAGCTTTACTAAAGTCAAGATATATCACATCTACTGTTTTTTCCCCCTATCCACAAGGCTTGTTACCCTGTCAAAGAAAGCTATCAGGTTGGTTTGACATGATTTGTTCTTGACAAATCCATGCTGACTGTTACTTATCACCTTATTATCTTCTAGGTATTTTTCAAATTGATTGCTTAATTATTTGCTCCATTATCTTTCTGGGTGCTGAAGTTAAGATGAGTGGTCTGTAATTCCCTGGATTGTCCTTATTCCTCTTTTTATAGGCACTATATTTGCCCTTTTCCAGTCCTCTGGAATTTCTCCCGTCTTCCATGACTTTTCAAAGATAATCACAACTGGTTCAATTATCTCCTCTATCAGCTCCTTGAGAATTCTAGGATGCATTTCATCAGGCCCTGGTGAATGAAGACATCTAACTTGTCCAAGTAATTTTTAACTTGTTCTTTCCCTATTTTAGCCTCTGATTCTACCTCATTGTCATTGGCATTCACTATGTTAGACATCCAATTGCTACTAACTTTTTTGGTGAAAACCAGAACAAAAAAGCCATTTAGCACTTAAGTAAGTACAGAGCTTCATTGGCAATCAGGTGAGAAATGAAATAACATAAAAAATTAGGCAGTAATATCAGTCAAAATTCATCCAGACTGATGAATTAGGGTGTCATTGGTTTTGACTTGGCTTCACTGAATGTGGTCCTAAGTAATTATCTCTTGCTTTAGAAAATAATAAATAATTTAAATAATTTGCAATCCGAAATGCTGGATATGAGGTTTGTCTTATGCATATTCTGATATTTTATTCATATTTAACTACTGGAAACTAACTTCATCTTTTTCCAAGGAAATAATTAAGCATGTTAGTTTACAAATTTCTGCTGCCTCTCATCTCAGCCAAAAACATCAGTCCTCTCTTAATTTAGGAGAAAAAAATAACTTTTTTTTTCTGTCTTTGATCCTTTCTGTTAGTCCAAATAGTTTGGTATCATTCCTGCCTGCAGATGGAGACAGTACAGAAAATATCTTTTGTTATGTCATCACCTATATACAGATTAGAGAGAACCTTAACCTATTATCTTCTACAGTGTTTAAAATTCAAAGACTCTCAAAAAGAAAAATTACATTTTAAAATGAATACAATTCCAGTACACTCAAATTTCACTTTAATAAAATCTACCAACCTCCTCTCCAGCTATTCAGTTGTCTGATTAGATGGCAGTTTATGGTCAATCCAGCTCCAGAGGGGAGTAATGCTTCTTTTTTCTGTCCTGAATCCCCAATTGCACTCACAGAAACTCCAAATGCAGGGAATGGTTTGGAATCTGCCATCCTCCAAGAATGTACTTGATTAATAATATAACCTGCTTGCCTCAAGTGAACTCCACAGAGTCTTAAATCACCTTTATTACACTGGCATGGTGATTTGGGGTACAAAGAAAGGTCATAGTGTCCTCTTTGAAAGTATTGAAGCACCCTTAGATTGTACCTAGCACATAGCTAAAATGGGTTAATTAAAATATTTAGGTTTATAGTTTTCTATTCATTTGAATGCTATTGTAATTGAATTGCATATGACTCAAAGATCAATCACACTGCTAATATTACTTTTCTGTTCTTATATAAAAGAATTAATACTTTTAGAGACTGAGTGTTAACATACTAATATGGATTGCAATTCCACCACAAGGCATGCTTTTTACAATAAAGTATTTGTCGGGTTTCTTGAAGATACATAATCTTGTTCCTGATCTTTAGCTTTTGAATTAAAAAAGAAAATATAGTTATGGAATTCATTGTAACTAATAAGGACTTGAAATAGAAAATAGAATTGATAATTTTAGATTTGTTTTAAAAGAAATGCTTTTCCTTCTTAGTATTAATTGCCATAAAACGAGACGGATAAGTGGATAAAACATCTTTACAATACTCTTTTAAAATATTCAGTATAGCATTTCTTTCTTTAAAAAAAGTTGCAACAGTGTTACATCAAAGCCAATATGAATATTAACCTTCTTATATCTCTAATAGGCTAACTCCTGGTGATGCAAGGATCTTTTTGTAATAATGGAGATCCATGTGAATTGGACCTGCTTTTATATCAAAAAGGCCAAGCAGTTTTTGGAAGAAATGAATGCCCAAGATTTATAGGAAAACTTGCCTTATAAATGTCTGTGATAACTGAGCTGAAGGTGACTAGCAACAGCAGCTGATTTTTAGGCTGTATTTGTATGGGAAAGAAAATTTCCAAATAAATTAGTGGTATTTTAGCCATTTGATCTCTTTTGATTAAGATGGTCCCAAAATGAGAGAGAGTCTGCCTAATGAAGATCAAACACATTTTCCTCATAGATAATACTGTGACACGTTGACCCCCCCCTTCAGGGAGCCACCTGATGTACTGGGGTCCTACTGAGCCCGCCCGTTCCACCAGCCTGGGCTCACTCACCCTGTCTTGCTGTGCCAGGCCCTTAAGCCTCCTCTAATACACACACAGATGGGACCACACCCAGCTGCAAAAGGACACAGACACTGAGATCAGCTCTGTGTGGGAAGACTCAGCTTGGGGATTGCCCAGCATTCAAGTGCACCTCTCTCTGGAGTGCAAAATTGTATTGTCTTGCACTGCACAGAGATCTGTACCATGTAAGCTCATGAAAATCACGCCCTCCCTCAATGTGGAGGAAGATATGCACAGCTTTTTGCCCCCCCCTCCCTGAGTTATGAATTGCACAAACTGACTGATAGAAAACAAAAACAAGTTTATTAACTACCAAGAACAGATTTTAAGTGATTATAAGGGATAGCAAACAGATCCAAATAGATTACTGAGCAAATAAAGCAAACACATCAACTAAACTTAATGCACTACTGGCTACAAGTTGTAATTTCTCACCCTAAATGTCATTTTAAGCAGGTTGCGGAGATTCTTGAAAACAAACTTTTCTTGCTTGCAGCTTAGAATTCCAGATATTCCTTTCATGGGCCAGACACCTTCTAGCCTGGATCCAGTTGTTCTCTTCCCGAGATCAGTCTTAGGTGTTTCTAGCAGTCAACTTGGTTGGCGCTTCATTAAAGAACCAACCCTGATTACCTAACTTCACTGCCTTAAAAAAGGTTTACATATGGTGGGAATCTTTTTGTGTCTCAGTGGGATTCTCCCTCCCTTCCCCCAGTGAAAAAATACTAGTAATCCAAGATGGAATCCAGTAACAGGTGGTATGATCACATGTCCCTGCAGTGTCAAAGCAGCATCCCAGGAAACTTCTCAGGAAGGTGGGGGATTAGCATGTTCAAAGTCCTATCATTCTCCCTAATGGCCCATCCAGACCGATTGCATTCTTTCTGGTGGGTGTTCCCCAGATGTAAACACTTTTATAATTGATACATAGTTAATATTCCTAACTTCAGATACAGAAATGATACATGCATAGTAAATCATAACCTTTCCAATGAAATCTCACATGACCCATCTTGCATAAAATACATCTTAGTTATGCCATATTCATATCATACACCCATTTCTATGAAGAATATGGGGCATAGTGTCACAAATACTATTAAGAAAATAAACTTAAGAGGGAAATTTGTTACCAACGTCCTACTTCCCTGTTGAAAAATGACTTTCTACCACCACATTATTTGTAAAAACAATGAGGAAAATGCACAGATAGTCAAAACTGTTTTAATCACTGAATCTTCACCAACTGATGGTGATTTGGTTGCCAGTATGAAATAACTTGCTGGCACTGGCCTGGCCAGGGAATGATGAACTGTGGCCACTGGGAGCTGCGAGTGGCCGTACCTGCGGACGCTCAGGTAAACAAAGCGTCTTGCGGCCCACCAGGGGCTTACCCTGAACCAGCTGCGAACCAAGTTTGGGAGCCCCTGCCGAAAGTTGCTGACCCCTGGTCTAGGAAAACATCATCGTTGCTGCCATGCTGTACCTGTTCTTTGGATAAGTAGAACATTAGTCTCCATGACTGTCAGTGTGGAACTTCAATTATCATATTTTGCCTTTATGTGAAAAGTGAACTGCAAAATGTGAACTTTACTTTCACCCTCTACTGTTTGTGTATGATGTGCAAAGACTAATTCTCACAATTCAAGCTGCCAGAATGCTCTTCTTCCTCAGATAAGGGAGAGCTCCACTCAGGTTATAGGCTTATGTAAGACAACTGTTCAGATCATTTAAAGATGTCAAGGTCCTCTGTAAAAGAGAGTGGATAAGGGACCTGATATTTTGAATGCAAAAAACCCTCAAACAGATACTTTTATAAGAAAATAGTAAAGGGCAAAAGTTGGTGGGTTTTTTTGCTTTTCAGTTACCTACCTTAAAGTAGGTTTAAAGGAGATCTTCTTGTTAAGCGTGTAACAACAACTGATGGCTTAAAAATCTAACTATCTTTTCATTTCAAGTAAGGAAAACATATATATGTGCTAGACTGTTGGTAATGAAAAATGATTGCCTGGAGTGACTATTATAATTTTTTCTAGGTATGCCTTACATTTTGTTGTACAAAGTGGAATTTCCTACTATATCATGATCATAATAGGAGTGGAAAATATGCACAAGTAAGTATTGGGTTTCTTTATTTAAATTTAAAGTTATTTAAATGAAGAATATAAACAGTTATTTAGAAAGTCGTTGTATAGCTGTTTATAAGAACAAATTAGGTTTATATCTGCATACATTTCTCTTACTGACACACTTTATGTCTTGTAACTATGCCTAGTATGTTATATTGCTATTGGCATTAGAATATCAGAACATTTCAGTATTTGAATTGCGCTAAAGATGGCTTGTTTGTAGGGAAAAACACCACCCTTTTTGTCTGCTTTGTCTGTTTGAAATGCTGAGCACTTATTCCACTTACTGTCTGCAGAAAGAAACCCTAAGGCAGCATTGGTAATTCTCAATGTATAGCTGTTAATACATTTCTCATTGCTTAATCATAAATAGTCTTAGATTGCAAATACATGGTTAATCCATATTAATACAATTTTATAACTCTCAATACCAATGGAAGGAAAAGATCTGGGCATGAGAAGAGGGTTTGTGTGATGAAAGTGAATATTAATTCATTTAAAATGCCACTGTTTTTTGTTTGCTCTGTTTATAAAAAGGAAAAAGCAACACGTGAAAAGGTATTCACATTAGGACACTATTTTAGTCTGATAATAATAGTATCATAGAAATGTAGAATTGGAAGGGACCTTGAAAGGTTATCTAGTCCAATCCCTTGCACTGAGGCAGGACTAAGTATTATCTACATCATCTCTGACCAATATATTTGTCTACCCTGTTCTTAAAAAGCTCCAGTGACAGAGATTCCACAACCTCCCTAGGTGATTTATTCCAGTGCTTAACTACCCTTACAGTTAGGAAGTTTTGCCACAGTCTAACCTGAATCTACTTTGCTGCAATTTAAAGCTAAAATAGAGACCTAATTATGTAATAGCATTCACGTGTTTTTTCTTTTTCTTTAAAGGGAACAAACGAAAAAGGATATTTTAAAAATAAATTATGTGTTTACATTAGATAAAGGCCCCAACTGAGTTTAGGGCCCCATTGTACTAGGCATCATACAAATGCATAGTAAGAGACTTAATCCCCGGACGAGGATACTTAAAAAAACAACACAGGCAAAACAAGGGAGGGGAAACAGAAAGGAGATGTAATTTTGGTCTTGTACTGCTGATGTCTCTCAATTGCCCCAGATTGTCTTTGAGGGGAAAGGGAGAGTCTAAGTGTTCAGTTCCGTGTGTGTGTGTGTGTGTGTGTGTGTGTGTGTGTG